TGAGGCGGTCATTGAACTTATTTTTATCTCTATTTAATTTAACATCAAATATTTACCTTCAAGATTAAGACCGCCTACCGCAATCCTCCAAGGCTGAGCATCATTACTCCATGGTTTAACCACCTTAGATTTGGTTAAATCTTGAAAGTTATTAACAAAAGTAGGCGTGCTATAACCACCGCAAAGTCTTGCATTAAGATGCAAAGTTGATCCCTTTGAGATTGCGTAGTCAGATAAGGTGTGGACGTCTTTCAATTGTCTGCCAGAAAAAATGAGACGTTGTTGATCAGAGGGAATGTATCCTCTATTGTAAATCTCTTTTTTAACATCTTCAATGCTATGAAATGATTCGACATCAAGAGCAATTGTTTCTCCGTTTAGAGTTTTAATAAAAACTTGCATTTTTATTCAAATTGAACTGCGTAATATCTCTTTTATAAAAATATCTAATAAAGAAAATGTATTCTGAAGTTAAGAAAACGGCTTATCAATTATTTTACGTACTAAAACCATAATAAGAAATTGGTTCATGCGTCCATATGTACTTTTCACACGCTATTAACATTTACTTTTTCACACGCTATTAACAATCTGATCTATTGTATGATTTCTAACCTCTATCTACTATGCACAACTAAATGTACGTACGTAATACATACATACGGTGTACCATAGGTTCACAAAGTGGCATAATCTGTGTTTTTGTGTTTTAGTGTTATAGACATTAAAATTTATTTCTATAAAAGGAAATTATTTCCAATAATAATAAATTTTTGATTCTGTGTTTGTGCTTTTTCAGCTTAGGAAATTTGTCCCAAAAATGGTAGTTATGATAGGCTGATAACGGGTAAATCATGTACAATCATTAAAGTATTTGTTCCGTTAATGCATTTTGTTTGATAGGCGAATGATCCAAAATTTGTGCTGGTTTGTGGCGCAAATTTTTTGAACTACGAACGTACGTACGTACGTACAAAACAAATTGCGAAGTCAGACATTAATGTGACATAATCAAGGAAAACTTAAATCAAGTATTCGCTTCTCAAAGATTTCTTATTTCAAAAAAATTTATATAAAACGATGTTTTGAGTGCTTCAATAAAAAAAACTTTATATATAAATTTTTAAGAAATATGAAATATGACAAAAGCGAACACTTTTGAGTTTCCTAATTGTCACATTAAAGCCTAATTTCGAAATCTGATTCATAGTTCAAAGATTCAGTGCCACAAACCGGCACACATCATTCGGCTTAGATATACGTATCAATATATCGAAACAAAATGCATTAATAATTGTGGCAGATT